CAAAGTCTCAGCAATGTGTGTGGCCATAGGAGAGGCCATAGCATGTAGCTCTCAATTCTCCACTGTCATTTCCCGTGAGCCTTCAGGCGTCTGGACAGTACAAAGAGGCAAATAAATGGGGACGTGATGGAAATGATGACCCTGTCCTGGGGGTTCTTAATAGTGACAAGAGCTTTGACTCCTTGGCGCTGATCGTGTTTCTGAGCTCTGGTCTCTGGACGGCAAGGTATCTGGTGGCCTCCTCCCCCTTTGAGGAGGTCCCTGGTCCTCGGGAATCCTGCCCCTATTAGAGAGGCAGGGGCTGTAGAGATGGCCCAGGATGCAGTCGGACTCCACGGATCCTTCACGTGGGGCTAGTTGTTGGAGGATGGCTGCTATTCCGCCATGAATAAAAGGAGCCGGATGGGGTAGAGGATTCTTAGGACACTGGTGAGCTTGGCCTTGCTTTCAATAGGCCATGAAGGCCTGAGCGCTACCCTCCTGCCCACAGAGAGTAACTCTTGGGACATGGCCCAGGTTGCTGTGGGCTGAGTGGCCGGAGTGGAAGGTGGCCATGGTGACATAGTCTATCTACCCTCTCCTGGGGGTTTGGAGGATGGAGTCCTTGCCAGATCATGAAGATCCTGGGATGGATGGGGGATTCTGCAATCTCGGGAAAGGCTGTGACAACAGGGGTGATAGATGTCAAAACTCCTCTGTCTCTTCCCTTGAGCCATCAGATGTCAGGATTGACCAAAGAGAGGAATTAAATGAAGACATGACAGAAATGATCCCTTTTCTAGCTTCTCTTTTGCTGTATATTTTTTGGCCACTGCAACCTTGAGGTGTCCTGGCATGTGTTGTCTCTCAGAGCTGAGCACAGAAGCACCCCCTTCTCAGTTGCTGAGGCAAGAAGAGCAGGGTTGTACTGGTTTTTTATTGTCACTGTAACAAAACCCGCCCCCCACTTGGTGGCTTAAAACCACACTCATTCTCCTCTAGTTCTGAAGGCCACAAGTCTAAAATCACTTTCCCTGGGCTAACGTCAAGTTATGAGCAGGGCCACGTCCCCTCCAGAGTCCTTCCTTGCTTTTCCAGTCCCCAGAGCTGCATTGCTGTGTTCCTTGGCTTGTGGCTTCTTTCATCTTCGAAGCCAGCAGTGTAGCGCTTTGTTTCAGTGTCACGTCCTCACTGTCTGTAGTCAACTCTCCCCCTGCCTCCCTGTGCTATGGACGTGTGATCACACCTATGTCCCACCCGGCTCACTCAGGATGGTCTCCCCACCTCAAGATCCCCAACTTAATCCCGTCTGCAAAGTCCCTTTTCTTTTCACTCTCGACAGTGTCTTCTGATGAGCAGGTCAGCTCAGCTTTAACCTAATTAACTGTTGCTTTTTTTGTTTTTTCATTCAAATCAGAAGACTTTGGCATTCATGTGCATTTAGAACTAGAAGGAGCTTTAGAGATTATTTGTGCCAGTGCTTTTTTTTTTCAAATAAATTTATTTATTTTGGGCCGCATTGGGTCTTCATTGCTGCATGTGTGCTTTCTATAGTTGTGGTGAGCGGGGGCTACTCTTCATCGTGGTGCATGGGCTTCTCATTGCAGTGGCTTCTCTTGGTGCGGAGCACGGACTCTAGGCATGCGGGCTTCAGTAGTCGTGGCACGCAGGATCAGTAGTTGTGGCCTACGGGCTCCAGAGCGCGGGCTCAGTAGTTGTGGTGCACAGGCTTAGTTGCTCCGCATGTGCCAATGCTTCTTGATCTTTATGTTCACTGGAATAACTTGAGGAGCTTTTGAAAAAATACCTATGTTTGGGTATCAGCATAATTTAAGAGCTCCCCAGGGAATTTTTAAAAAATTTCAACATCACTGATTTCTGTTCTTTTTTTAAAAATATTTTATTTATTTATTTATTTTCCTTTTTTTTGTTTTTGTTTTTGTTTTTGTGTGCATCGTGTCTTAGTTGTGGCACACGGGATCTTTCACTGAGGCACGTGGGCTTCTCCCTAGTTGTGGCCTGCAGGTTTTTCTCTCTCTAGTTGTGGCCCATGGGTCCCTGAGTGCGTGGGCTCAGTAGTTGCAGCATGCGGGCTCTCTTGTTGAGACGCACGAGCTCAATTGTTCTGGCGTGCAGGCTTAGTTGCCCCCCAGCATGTGGGATCTTAGTTTCCTGACCAGGGATCGAACACGCGTCCCCTGCATTGGAAGGAGGATTCTTTCCCACCGGACCACCAGGGAAGTCCCTCCCTAGGGAATTCTAATAAGCAGTTGGATTTGAGGCCCACTGACCTCTGTGAAAGGAGAGAGTTTAAGAGAGTGATGCTTTGCTTGGCAGTAGCTAGATGCCTTATCTGATTCCTGCTTCATCTCAAGAACTTAACAGATGATTGACTCTTCCAGGATAATCAACAGAGGTCAACCCTGGCACAATTTTTAGTGGGTCTTTCTCTCTTAACCTCTGGTGTGCCTGGTACAGTCCTGGTTAATGCCCATTGTCTTGCTATAACTATTAATAGCATCATCCTTTCACTCTCAAAAGTGTCCCAGTTGGGATACTACACTATAGGGCTGCCCACCACCCCCCAAACTTCTTGAGGGTGCCCTGCCCCTGGTTTGCAAGCCCTCTCCTCACTCTCCTAATTTGGCCTCAGCCCCCCCACTTAACAGCTCCCTTTGTGGGGTTTGGAAGCCACCAGGAGGGCATCCCCCAAACAGAGGGGCCTAACTTTCCATCCCAGCAATGACCGGGCTCTAATTCCTCATCCTTACAGCTGGATTTCTTAAAATCCTACACAATGAAGCAGCACTAGGAGGCCAGTGCGGGAACCACACCCAGAACTAAAGCTACATCTCCAGCTCCCCACACTGCGAACAATCCATCTAACCACTGCCTGGCCTCATGGAGACACGGCTCAGCCATAAGAACCCACAGCCGCTGTCATTGATCCCCGTCATCAAACCGTTAGACTGCTCTCATCAATAAAGGAGCTGATCAGAGGAGCTCTGATGGGGGCGGAGCGCAAGTCCACTCTACCACAAGGACAAGCAACAAAGGCCCCTGAAGACCCCGGAGGTCAGACAAGAGTCAGCCTCCTCCACACAGGAGGGGCCGTGTCTCAGGTTGTCACCTCAGGACAACCTGGAAGTAGCCTTCTCCCGCTCTTTCTCCACGGCAAGGACTATACAACCCAGAACCCCCTCCCCTCTTAGCCTCCACATGGTGACATACATGTCACCCCAAAGACTGAGTGCCCCAGAGCAGCTCTGCGCCACAAGCACACATCCAACAGCCCACCCCATCCCTCCCTCTCCATTCTTCTGAATTACCTGATTCATTGGAATTTCGTTCCTACCTTTAGCCACATCACCTATAGAAGAATAACTTATGATGACTGTAGTGGGTAGAGTGGTGGCCCCCAAAGATATATCCATGTCCTAACCCCAGAGCCTGTGAATGTGACATAATTTGGAAAAGAGTCTTTGCTGATGTAATTAAGTGAAGGATTATCCTAGATCACCCTGGATTATCCAGGTGGGCACTAAATCCAATGACAAGTGTCCTTAAAAGATACAGAAGAGAAAGCAGGGAGGGAGGAAGAGAAAGCCATGAGAAGATGGAGGCAGACATGAAAGTGATGCAGCCACGAGCCAAGGGAGGCCTGGGGCCACCAGAATCTGGAAGAGGCTAGGAAGCACTCTCCCCTAGAGCCTTGGGAGGGAGCACAGTCCTTTGAACACCTTGATTTTGGACTTCTAGCCTCCAGAACTGTGAGAGAGTAAATTTCTGTTGTTTTAAGCCACTAAATGGGTGGCACTTTGTTACAGCAGCCCTGGGAAACTAACACAACAACCTGAGCCAGCTTACTTTTCCTAGACTCTGCCTTACCTCCCTGCAGTGCTGTTGCCCATGCTACCTGCTCTAAAGCATTGAGGACACGCACAGAGACATGGACAGACAGACACACACGCACACAGACATACGCACACGCACACAGACATACACACACACACAGACATATGCACACACACACAAACATACGCACACAGACATACGCACCCGCACACAGACATATGCACACACACAAATATATGCACACGCACACAAACGTACGCACACAGACATACGCACACGCACACAAACGTACGCACACGCACACAAACGTACGCACACACACACAAACATACGCACACGCACACAGACATACGCACACGCACAAACGTACACACAGACATACACACACGCACACAGACATACGCACACGCACACAGACACACAAACACACGCACACGCACACAGACATACGCACGCGCACAAACGTACGCACACATACGCACACGCACACAGACATACGCACACGCACAAACATACGCACACAAACGTACGCACACGTACACAAACGTACGCACACGCACAAATGTACGCACACGCACACAGACATACGCACACGCACAAACGTACACACAGACATACACACACACACAGACACACACACAAACACACGCACACGCACACAGACATACGCACACGCACAAACGTACACACAGACATACGCACGCACACAGACATACACACAAACATACACACACGCACACAGACATACGCACACGCACACAGACATACGCACACACACAAATATACGCACACACACACAAACATATGCACACATCTTTGCTAATTTACAGCTTTGTCCCAGCCTTTGCCCAGGAACCCGATGAGCATTTGCTAAGAGGAAACGGGCGGGACTAGATAATTTATCAAGACCTGCAGAAAACCTGGGCTGCGGGGAGAAGGCAGGCTGAACCAAGGGGCTCCAGGAGGCCAGGTTCCTTCAGTTTCTGGGCTGCAAATAGAATCCTCTGGGAAGGCTGAGACAGCGCAGGCGGAAAGGAGCCCAGAGACAGACTCGCACTTGCACACCTTCGACAAAGGGAACAGACAGGCAGCCTCCCAGGCCCAGAGGGCACAGGGAAGAAGGAAACGGCCAGCCTCTCAGTGGGGAGAGCCCTCCTGGGCAGTACACAGAGGGCTCCCTGCAGCAAAACTTCAGCTGAGAAGGCCTGTTTCAGGGTGAACGTGACGAAGACGCTCTCCTCGTAATCATCCGGTTCGTACAGACACCCAAACTGCGGTGACCCATTGGGGCCGGCGCCCATTCTCGGGAGGTCTGAGTAAGCGCAGCTGCCCGGGGCCAGCAGGGGGGTTCCGACCAGGCCTAGGGCGCGGGGGGCTGTCAATTGAGGTACACGCCCAGGTTGGCTCTCCCCCGTGGGTCAGTCGGGTGCGTGTAGAGCAGTCACCGGTCTGGGGATTCTGATCCCGCACGGGGGCTGGGGAAGCCAATGATGCTCCCTTGGCAGCCGTGGGGAGGCTCCACGAGCTTCTGCACTGGCTGGGTCTCCCCGAAATCGAGCCCGTCGTTGGCACTCTGGACCTGGACCCTGGCTTGGAGGGGGCTTCTCGCGTTCAGGTACACAACCCTCCGTTTTGCATCCCCAACTTGGGCCACCTGGCACCCCAGGGTGTCCCAGGACACGAATTTCCCGTGGTCGTGGCTGACCAGGCAGAAGGCGGAAGGGGTAGGCGCCCGCAGGGAGGGACGGGTGCAGTAAGCGTACGCTGGCACCACCAGGCTCTGTGTCGGGTTGTGCAACTGCAGACAGTGTCCCGGGCCCACCGCGAAAGTGGCCCCGTCCTTGTGGGCCGGGCCAATGACAGAGTCCGTGAGGTCCCTGACGGGGCTCCAGGACCTCCCGTGGTCGGTGCTGGTGACCTGGCACAGCCGTGTCACGTTGACCCTGGTGTGGAGCTGGTGGTGCTCGGACACCTGCCCAGGGACGGCAATGAAGAAGAGAACGGTCCCTGTCTTCTCGTTGTACAGGGGGCTTGGGTTCATGGAGCGGTGGCCCTCCATCTGGGCTTGGGCCACCGCCTCCTGTGCATGCCACTGCAAGTGAGGAGAGAAGGAGAAGCACAGCTTGGAAACGGCCAGTGACAGTGACAGAGGCTGCACTCTGGGGGGCGGTGTGTCTCATGGGGTTAGGATCAAGGGTCATGGAGGGGAGCCCTTGGTCCAGCGCTCATTCACCCTCACAACACCTCCCAGAGCGGGACTCAGGGCTCCGCCTCACTCCCTCCGAGACAGCCCAACCCTACACAATCCCACCAACATACATCCAGGGCGCCTATGATGTACTAGATCTCAAGTACAAAGAGGATTCAGGCACCAGCCGTTCGCAGCTCCATCCCAGCTCCTTCAACTTACCAGCTCAGTCCAGCTTCCCATTCTTGAAAAGTAAAGCCCTAGTAATAACTACAGTATTCTGCTCGTGTGATAGAATATGACAATCGCCTCCCACCTTCTATACACCATCCTCTATTAATGTAGCCTAGGAGGGGGCAGCACCATGATGCTAGGACTCACAGTGAGCTTCCATAGTCCCCGGGCGTATGTCATAGATGCTGCAGCTCTGCTGTCTATCCCTATTCATTAATAGCTATCTCGCAGTGAGTGTTTCTCAGGACAGACACCGTGCCAAGAGTCTAATGTCCATAGTCTCATCTAACCCTAACCTCTAGCTCCTGGGGGACAGGTATTACGATCTCCATCTTACATCTATAGAGCGAGAGGCTTAGATAAGGTAGATGAGCTGCCCAAGGCCGTACTTCTGGTAAGTGGTAGAACAAGGACTTTGAACCCAGGTCCATCTGCTTCAAACCCATGCTCTAAACAACTACAAGGACATAATGACCACAAAGTAAAGATAATAATGATATTAAACCCTTCATATGTGAAAAGCCAGCCTTGGGCGTCTTCATCAGAATTACTTGATCTACATGCTGGAACTTCAGGACGCAAGCAATCACCCCAACAACCCACCCCAGGTTAATTTTGCCCAAAGGATCAACTCCCTCCCAGTTATGTGATGCTGAACTAGTCCTCCCTCAGGTTCTCAAGCATGTAGGGAAACCTTTCAAAAATCAGTTTCCCTGACTGACTTGTAATAAAACAGGTGCAGCCAGGCCAGCCGGACTTGTTCAGGGTGAACCCATGTGAGATCCGGGCGATCACTTGGGGATACCTTCTCTGTCCCATCCTTGATGGTTCCCTGGGTCCCTCTGTCCCCCAGACCTCAGCCATCTAAGGATGAGCCGGTCCCCGCATTCGCGGCAGAGCAATCACAGCCACTTCCTGCCTTACCCGGACCTGGTGGGTGGACGCGTCGTAGCTTCCCTTGCGCAGGACAATTAGCTTCGCGTACTCATCCTCCTTGCTTGTCCGCTCTCCTGCAAAGGCCAGCAGGGTCTTCTGCTGAGGCAGGTAGAGCAGAGCGGGGATCCTGTAGGCATGGGCTCCCAACTGGAACACTCTCTCCCTCTGCAGGATGGGGCAGGATGCCATGGGGCTTGAAGGAGGGCGCGGGAAGAGATGAGTCCCCTGCAGTCACGTCCTGAGATGGGGCCAGAGCCGCCCTCTGGGGCAGGTGGAGCTCACCTCACAGGTAAGCTGACTGATGCTGGGTGGCCTGTCCTCCTCCCACACAGGGTTCATACCCCTTTATTGCACTCCAAGCCCCTGTTTACCGACCCTCACATGCCTCCCACGGAGTTTGGCAACACCTCTGTCCCTGAGACGTTAGGAGCAGGTATTTGGAAAACAGTGTTTTGTGTTGTATTTTTCTTACAAGTTGACAAACCTCCTTATAACAGATTTGTGATAACCTGCAACTGTTTTTGGCAAACCCATCAATCAAACACCGAGCCCCGGGTGGGGTGGGAGGGCTTGCCGAGTGACATTCTGCCGCTGTCCAACTGTCAGAAAATGACACATGGGAGCTTTTTATAACTCGTGAGCCCTAGAAATTTCTCTTAGAAAAAAAAAAAAGAAAGGGTAGTGGGGGGAGACCTTGATTCTTAAGGTTCTCCTCCCAGGCTGCCTGAGGCTAAGGCCCAGCTGTGTCCCACGTGTGGGCTCCACCCCTGAGGCAGGGACAGGGCGTTGGGAATGGAACAGGGAGGCCCTGGGTGACAGGGCTCACCCAGACGCAGAGGATCCTCCAGAGCTACAAGGAAATAAAAATGAAAAACAAGCATTTGGCCAAAAAGGGTGGCAAGGGCTGGAGGTAACTTGGTGACCGTGCATGACAGTGGACTCCGTGCTGGGCCACCTGGGTCCCCTTCAGGGGGCTGAAAAGAACTTCCTCCTCCTGGTCATACCCCAGAGAGCACTGTATCTGAAGACTGGCCTGCCCAGAATATAAAGACCCGGTCCCCTTGTCCTAACTCAGATGCTCTGAAGGGTCCCAGCTCCAGGGTTCCCTGTGGGCTCAGCTGAGGCTTCCCAGGGGCCCGCGGCCCAGCTTCTCTGTCTGCCCCTCCCACAGCCCTCCCTTCCTTTGCACAGCACTGACCCTACAAACCACCTGCGTCAGAGCCTGCTTCCTGGAGAGCCCCACCTCCAACGCGAGCTTGGGGAGGGAAAGTAGAAAGCAAGGTGAGCTCTAAGAGTCACACAGCTTCTCTGTACACCCTTTCCAACTGCTTGCCTTTTCCCTACCATGTACGTATATTATCTGTTAAAAACTTAATTTAACATTTTTGAGAAAGAAATGTAATCTATCAGTATTTTACTCAATCCATTATGAATATTATTGTTTGGACAATGTAAAAATATGTGATTGCCTAAACACAGGTGGAAGAACCAAGTCTTCATGATAAAATCTAGACCGGCAAAGGGCAGTCCAAGAAAACAGGGCTTGGAAGACATAGCAGTGGCTAAGCTGACATTTTGTTATGAAAGATATATTAAAAGTAGAAATAAAAATCAGGGAGAAAGGTGCCGTTCAACAGTGTCCTCTAGAAAATTCATCAAGGGTTTGTTTAAGCTCTTGGGTATTTACCTAGGAGTAGAAATGCTGGGTCATATGGTAATTCTATATTTAACTTTTTTTTTTAACTTTATTTTTTTTTTAACTTTTTGAGGAGCTACCAGACTGTTTCCACGTCAGCTGCACCGTTTTACATTCCTAAAAGCAAGGTATTAAGGCTCTAATCCCCCCACATCCTCATCAAACTGGTTATTGTGTCTTTTTTGGTAATAGCCATGCCAGTGGGCGTGAAGTGGTATCTGACTGCGGTTTTGATTGGCATTTGGTGCAATGATGACTAATGATGTTGGGCATCTTTGCATGGGCTTATTGGCCATTGGAGCTGGACTTTAGCCTGGAGGTAATGGGAAGATTTCAAACTCCTTTAGGCAAGGGAGTGGTGATCTCACTTGATCAGCTTTTCAGGAAGTCTTTCTTTTGGCTTCAGGGTACAAGGGGACAGAAGGTGAGTCTGTTGCAATTTTCCAGGTGAGATAAAATAAAAGCCTGGGTGGAGCAGAGACAGTGACCACTGAAAGAGGAGCTCAGCTCCTAGAGATGGGAAGCAGTAAAATTAATAGGGTTGGAAGGGCAAATTAGGGAGGACTTGAGAATGTCCCCATTTAAAATAGGCTGAATTGATTTCCACAGAGTCTGTGACTGTTTTCTGGATTTCTCTTTTAGACTCTAATCTCCTTCAGGATGGGGAGAAATTTATTCATTCATATTGCAAAAATTTATCGTGTTCTTACCTTGTGCATTGCATTGTTCTAGGAACTTGGGGTGCTTTGTGAATAAACATAGATCCCTGGCCTTGTGGAGTTTGTGTTCTAATGGGGAAGGGTGGGGTTACTATTATTGCCCCAAACCAAATAGTGGTCACTAGGGCTGGGACCTGTCCGAGCACCTGACAAGGATGGCCTTATTTGACTTCACAAATGCCCTGCTCTGTAAAACCTGTGAGGCTGACAACGATGCCCCTGAGGAAGAGATGTTGGCATGGAGGAGGAAAACTGTGGACACACGTTAACCTCAGCCCTATGGGCTGCTAGTAAGTATTTGTCATGTGTGTATTTAGAGCCAAAGCCGGCACAGGACGGGCGGTGGGGAAGGAAAAGGGGCCCTCAGTGTCCGCTTAAGGACTGTTCTCTATCCTCAGGAACTCAGCGCTGGCCCAAAGTCACACACCCATTAGCAGCACCAATCCCCAAATGCCTTCATAATAATAACAGCAAACACTTAAGTGGCTCTTACAAAGTGCTGGACACTCTTTAAATACCTTACAATACTTTTTAAAATGTTTTGTAAATTGTATTTACAAACTGTATTTTTTACAATACAGATTACAAATACTTATTCATTTAATCCCCACGACACCCCCGTGATGTAGACACTATTATTATCCCATTGTACAGATGAGAGAACTGAGTTCACCCAACCCTTCAGTGTCCAAGCTGGAGCTAAAAAACACTTCTAACCCCGTGCAATACTGTCTCCGAGAGGAGTTCTGGAAAATGCCATCTTCCTGAACCTCATTACATTTCCAGTGATGCTTTGACACCACATGTAAGTAGTTGACCCACTGGACCCAGCTCTGGCTCCAAACTGGCAGCGGCCTCAGACTGGCTTAGTGGAAAGAGAACTGAATTAGGAGTCAAAAACTTCAAATTCTGGTCCTAGGTTCACTCCTACCAGGTGTGTATCTTTGGGTAAAAACCCACCTCCCTGGGTTGTGTCTCTCCACCTGGCAAGAAGGGAGCTATAAGGGTTGCCATGCTGGTCCCTCCATCTCCAGGGAGGAGGTTGAGCTGGGACCCAAGTCCTGGGGGAGGGGAGAGCCCTCAGCACAGCCCGGTATCACCCGCCAGCATAAAACAGTCGGAGAGAAGACAGGGTCGGGTTGAACTTCAAGAAACTGCCATTCGTAGTATATATAAGTACATGCCACCCTCTCATTACCAAACGTGAAACAGATAGCTAGTGGGAAGCAGCCGCGTAGCACAGGGAGATCAGCTCAGTGCTTTGTGACCGCCTGGAGGGGTGGGATAGGGAGGGTGGGAGGGAGACCCAAGAGGGAGGAGATATGGGGATATATGTATATGTATAACTGATTCACTTTGTTATACAGCAGAAACCAGCACACCATTGTAAAGCAATTATACTCCAGTAAAGATGTTTAAAAAAAAATGAAAAAGAAAGAAAGAAAATGCCATTCCGTAGGTCAAAAGTAGTTGGACAGCAGCGGTTTCGGATGGTCCTGCCTGAGGCTACCAGCGGCTGCCATGGTTTGTGGTCTTGTGGGTGCTGAGTCCAGAGTGAAGCAGCTTATCAAAGGAAGCTCCCTTATCTCCACACAGCCCACGAGGCCGGCTTTAGCGCTGCCGTCTCAGAAGCAGGGAAGCTGAGGAATGGGTCAGGGAGGCGGTGGGTGGCTTCCTGGGGTCGGTGGTGGAGACGGGTGGATCTGAGCCCGCACCCACCAGATTCCAGAACCCGCGCCCGTAACCACCGGGACCACACGCCACAAGACCCGCAGCCAGGACTCGGAGGGCTGAAAGGCTTCCTCTGAAAAAGGCAAGCAGTGGAGGGTCCCTGCTTTTGCCCGTCTCCTGCTGGGAGCAGAGGGGCTCTGTTGTCAGCATTCACCTGCCCACGTTAGGAAGACGCTTTGGCAGCTTACAAATCTGTATTGAGTTCCTCATGTGTGCCAGAAGACAGATAAACAGATAAACCCTGGTGGTCCCTGCCCTGTTCTGGGAGCCCACAACAATGCGAGCCAGTACACCTGGGGAGCAGGAGAGAGGCACACTGCAGCCTTCCCAGAGGAAAACCCTTGCCCTTGGGTCAGTTTGGGGTACAGCATTTGCCTGTTGTCTACCATGTTGAAATCATGCCTCTCTCCAAAGAGCAGGCAGCTGCGGGCATCTAGTCTGCCAACAGCACCAGCAGAGCAAGCAGCCTCTTCCCAAGAAAACCCCATTTCCAGAGGGTTCAACAACTCCGCTCGGGCCCCGCTAGCTGGGATTCCCACCCCAAGCTGAGAGGAGCTCTCTCGACACCCACACCAGCACAAGACCACTGAGCATCCTTCTGGAAGTTCAGACCAGCAATAACTTGAGGGCAGAATTAGGAGCTCTCCTGAGCTGAGCCTTCTCCCCACATGCGTCCTCTGGACACCCCAAGAACAGAGCGGGTGCCATATCAGGGGTTTAAGGGGACAGAAAACTGCCATCGTCCGAGGCATCCCCGAACGTCGCGCCATCACTCCGTAATTACCTGGTACAGAAGAACTCTTGTTCATGCCAACAAAGAAACAGGCAGGTCAACTCTCTGAGAAGTGAGAAGCTGTACCTCAAGGCGTGTATTCCAGGTTGGATCCTGGGGCCTGGGCTGGAAGTCGGGGATGTGAGCAGAGGCTGTGGGAACCCAGCTTCCAGAAAAATGCAGCCCCCGTATTCCTCCAGCCTCACCTGGAGCCTCGAGGTCTCCTCTGTCGGGCTTGTGCCTCTAAACACCTAAGGGAGGCCCTGACCTCTGCCACCCATTCACCTGCTGGCATGCTCCAAGGCGACGCCGGTGTACAGACCCAGCCTCGGCCCAGTTAGGATGCTGCCTCTCATTAAATCCGTTCAGTTCTCTACACAGTCATGCCGGATCAGAATGAGCCACATGCAGCCTGAGTCAAGCTCACCTCTTAAATGGATGCATCGAGCAAAACGTCTGCACAGAGGGAAATAGACTTCCCAGGGCCTGGGTGAGTCTGGAAGTGCAGGGACACAGAGGAGGGGGCGCTGGAACCACGCAGGACTCAGCTCCTCTGCTGGCTGTGCCAGGGTCAGCTGCGTGAGCAGAACAACTTCTTGACCGCTTGGGACCTGAGTTTCCTCTTCTGAAAAATTAGAGCAAAAATATCACAGCGGGGCTTCCCTGGTGGCGCAGTGGTTGAGAGTCCGCCTGCCGATGCAGGGGACGCGGGTTCGTGCCCAGGTCCGGGAGGATCCCACATGCCGCGGAGCGACTGGGCCCGTGAGCCATGGCCGCTGAGCCTGCGCGTCCGGAGCCTGTGCTCCACAACGGGAGAGGCGACAGCAGTGAGAGGCCTGCGTACCGAAAAAAAAAAAAAAATCGCAGTGGCCTCGAAGCTGCTTGAGTGCAGACCGTATGCCTCATCTGCTACTACAGCCCTGAGTCAAGAGCGTTTCTGGATGGCCCTAGAGATTGTCGTACTGAGAGAAGTAACTCGGACAGAGAGAGACAAATACCATATGATATCGCTTATATGTGGAATCTCAAAAGAGGGTACAAATGAACTTATCTACAAAACAGAAATAGAGTCACAGATGTAGAAAACACACTTATGGTTACCAGGGGGTAAGGGGGGAGGGGTAAACTGGGAGATTGGAATTGACATATACACACAACTTCTGAGCCATAATTTCCCTCTAAACTTCCTGCTGTGTTCAGGTCTAAAGGCTTTGATTCTTATTCCCCCATAGTTGTTAAATTAAAATAAACACATCTCCTGGCCACGTCACAGTCCCTGAGAACGATAACACCAGGGTAGGCACAGAATGACCTAAGAATAATCTATTTATTTATGGCACCTGGGGATTTGTCTTTCTTGCTCTTGAGATAAAATATATATTTCTACACATATATATGATTTTATATTTTTTCCAGCACTTCTGTGTGTTTAGGAAACAAGTTAATTCGTGTACAGTGCTTAGAATGGAGCCTAGCCCAGAGGTGGTCAATGAATGTTATGATAATTATTCCTGCTTCTGCTCAGTTCTTTTTCTTGACCAGACCTGGTCCATCACCTTTATATACCTCAAATGTATTTTTCAAATAACCACAACAATTTTTTTAACTTTAAGCTTTTAAGTTCCTCTCCTCTCCCCACTCCCAACAGCAAACCGAACACGGGAAATTATTAGATAATCTTAAAAGAAATTCACTCACAGTGAATTAAACTAACTACACTTGAATATTCAATTTCTGCCAATGCACAATTATAATAATCAGTTTAAAATAAATGGCTTATGATTATTAAATCCATGAATGAGCTATCAAAAATTATCACCCAGAAAATATCACAAAAGCTTCTGGTCAAGGGCATCCCAGTTCTTGAAAGGGATTTCTCAGTGTCTCAGTCCATTCAGGCTGCTACATACCATAGACTGAGGGGCTTATAAACAACAGAAATTTACTTCTCACTGTTCTGGAGGCTGGGAAGTCCAAGACCAAGGCGCTGGCAGGTTTGGTGTCTGGTGAGAACCCTCTTCCTGCTTCAGAGATGGATGTCTTCTCTCTGTATCTTACATAGTGGAAATGGCAAGGGAGCTCTCTGGGGTCTCTTTTATAAGGACATTTAGGTCCCTCATAGGCTGAGCCCTCAAGACCTCATCACCTCCCAGAGGACCCATCTTCTATACCACCACACTGGGGGATCGTTTTCAACTTATGAATTTGGGCAGGAGGGGTGGGGACACAAACATTCAGTCTATGACACTCAGTTTCATCCCAAAATATGCCCATAGCAGAATAGTAGACAATCTTCAAAAAGAGTGAAGGATTTAAAGTGTGCTGAATTGGAAAACTACCAAGAAATAGATACAGAACAGTGTGTACATGCTGTGGTCCAGCCTAAGTAAAACAAAGGATATAGGGGTGTGTGTGTGTGTGTGTGTGTGTGTGTGTGTGTGAGAGAGAGACAGAGAGAGAGAGAGGGAGAAATTATGCATAGAGAGAACATTTCTGGAAGGATACGCATGAAACTATTAACAGAGGTTATGTAAAATGTTTCTGAGCAGGAAAGTGACAGGTTCAGAACTGTGTCAGCCGACTCACATGGCATATTGAGTGGGATGGGGTGGGGAGGACTGGAAGTAATTGGGAGAGACTGAAACCAGGAGACCTGTTTAAAGGACATCGTGGCAATGGTACAGGTGAGAATTGATGGGGGCCTATTCTAAAGCAGTGAGATGCAGTGGGGGAGGAAAAGAGAAATTAGATTCACTTTTGAGGTGCTTCCAGTGGTACCCCCAAGGGCCCAGCACAGTACCTATACCTGCTAGGTGCTCCAAAATGTACAAAATGAATGGTCTCCTGTATAGAAGACTTAGAACTCCAGCTCCTACAGGCATCTGCTGGGCACCTCAAGACACCAATCCCACAGATGCCGTGACCCTCTTCTCAGAGTTTGCTCACCCAGCCCGGGGCCCTGGGAAGCAGGGTTGGGAGACGGGGTCCACAGGCAGGTGAAGCCAGGGCCCATGTGTCCCTTGTGCCTCTCTTGCCCTGCCCACCCGGGAGTGTGGCACGGCTTCCTGCCCTGCCCAACCGCCCTCGCCCCACCAGGCCCCCCCACCAACAGCCTGCCACACTGTAGGCAGCCTCTGAGCTGAGCTCCGTGCACACATGGCAGCGAAGTGGTGTCTCCAAAAAGCCGTGGGCCTGGCCTCCCTCGGGACCTAAGGGGAGACAGGAAAACTACAAATGAGAAAGGGGGAAAGTGAGCCCAAAAAATCAGATATAACCCTACACACACATACACACTCACGCATGCACCTGCCACCATAACATGGTGCACTTCGCAGGTGCTTAGAATAGGTTTCCTAAAGGCGTGAGACGATGCAGGCGAATGAACAGGGAGATAAGGAATCTCTGGAATGTGGCGTATGAGGAGCAGTTGAAGCAAAGAGAACTGAGCCTCCTGAAGAACAGAGCATTCAGCGGGTACCCCCCAAACCCTGTACGTGTAAAAGTTCCACTGGGAGCCTTTGGAGGCCGGGGGCAGTGGGGAGAAGAGGAAATAATTGCATTTATTCTGGTAACTTCTGAGCCTAATGTGGGGTTTGGTTTATAGTGCCCTGCTCAAATGTTTGTGGAATGAATGAAGGGGTGTGTGGATGGATGGAAGGACGGGTGGGTGGATGGGTGAGTGGATGGGTGGGTGGGTGGATGGATGGATGGATGGACAGATAAGAAACCAAGTCTATCTGGCTTTCAGAGGCAAAATTGAAACCATATTTTCATGGCAATCAGAGGGCTGTGGTAGACAGCTTTCAAAGCTGGCCCTCAGCGATCCCTATGTCCTAGGATTCATGCCTCTGTGTAATCCCTACCTCGGAGTATAGGCTGTACCTGATGACTTCCTGCCAACGAGTAGAATATAGCAAAGGGGAAGGGATGTTACTTCTGTGAGGAGACCACAAAAGCCGATGACTTCCACCTTCCCGGAATCTCTGTTGCGCACCTTGGTGACAAGCTACCTCAGTGAAGAGGACTTTGTGGGGCCTCAGGTCAACAGTCAGTGAGGAGCTGAGGGCCTCAGTCCAAGAGTCCACAAGGAAGTGAGTGCTGCCAGCAAGCTCGTGAACGTGGAGGGAGATCCTTCCCTAGTGGAGCTTTGAGAAATGATCCCCATCCCTCTGGCACCTGGAGCGCAGCCTGTGAGGGACCCTGAGAAGAGAACTCATCTAAGCCCATATTCCTGACCCACAGAAACTATGAGATAGCAAATGTGTGTTGCTTCAAGCCACTACATCTTAGGTTAGTTTGTTGCCAGCAACAGATAGCCAATACAGTGGCTGATATGAGTTTAATATAAAAATGGACATCCTGGCAATTAAACTTGACAAATGACAGTAGTGGTTAAGAGCCCAGGTTTTGGTACTGATTAGATAGGGTTTGAATCCTGGATTCCCAACTTACTAGCTGTGTGGCTTTGGGCAAGATGATCAACTTCTATGAGCCTCTGTTTCTATGTCTTTAAAATGGGCATGATTCTCTGCTCATAGAGATAGCACAAGGATTACATAAAACGATTATGGAAAGTACTTAGCCCAGGACCTGTCACTGAATAGAAGGTAGCTATTAGCAACAACAACAACCACAACAGTAGTAGTAATGGAGCAAGTTCCCTCACAAAGCAGCAAGTGTCCCATACCTGGAAGGGATGGAGCTGAGTCACGATGTCATGTACAAGAAGTGAATGGAACCCTAGAGGACCACAAGCCCTTTCCAAGTCTCAAGGGGTCGCCGGGCTTACCCTGCACCTTCGCTCTGAACAGCGCTTTTCCTCCTGCACGGCCTCTGGGTCAGGTGTGCAGCCACCACCCTGGCTGGGCCCATGGGGTCCAGGAAGGTAAACACCCAGCCAGGAAATGATTGTCACGGGCACGGGGCCAGCGCTGAGCCAGGCGGTTCTGAAGGTCAGGAATGTTTCCCAGGGAGCCTTTTCCAGGAGAGGACGAAGCCTCTGGCTGCGGGTCTCTGGAATGGAAAAGAGGGCTTCCAAGCACACCGGCCTGCTCTGAGGACCCCAACAGGACACAGGACAGGACAGCGAGAGCCCTCCAGGGGTCTCCAACCCCCAGGAGCTCTTCACTGACAGGTGAGCAAATGGTTTTAGTATTTTTTTAATGAAATGAGATGAAACGAGATAATGGTCCAAGGTGTGGCCCGGGACGCATAGGGAAGACCCCAGGCAGGTGTGTGAAGGGAGAGGCAACCCCACTCCCCGCTTCACTGAGAAAGAGATTCAGGAGAAGAAACAGCCCTGGATCTCACTCATCTTAGCTTCATCACTCTCCCCTCCGGGACTTAGTTTCACCATCTGTGAATTGGGGTAATGATTCCTTCCAGGCTCCTCTCCCATGAAGGCTCCAGGAGCAAGTGAGATAATGAACAGGACTGGCTACAGAAGTTGCAGGGCCCCATGCAAAATGAATAAGGCCCCTTGTTCAAAAATTATTAAGAATTTCAAGAATGAAGAATTTTAGAATTATTAAGAACTGCAACAGCAGAGCGTTAAACTAAATGAGGGGTCCTTCTAAGGGCAGGGCCCTGTGTGACTGCACAGGTCACACACCTATGGCTCCAGCCCTAAAAAATAAAGGTACACGTAAACTGTGAAGTGCTAAACAAATTGAGATTACTAGGTGCCCGTGGCTCAAATCTCAGGGTCAGGAAACACCCCTGGGGAACGGAAGTCACAGTGGTGAAGTGACAGCCCACTGCACTGCTGCTCTGGGTCCCGTCTCAGAGGACGCCACCCTCTCAACCTTCTGGACTTGCACCACCGTCTGGCATCAAGCCAAAGCCTGGTGCGATACAAATGTCTTGGGACACAGTTTTCTTGGATGTGGCAATGGTACGTTGTTCTTTCGACCTTGATTTAAGTTTGTTCATTTGCAGCAGTATGGACGGATCATGAGATTATCATACTTGTGAAGTAAGCCAGACAGAAAGACAATTATCATATGATATCACTTATATGTGGAATCTTAAAAAAAATGATATAAATGAACGTATATACAAAACAGAAATAGATGCACAGACATAGGAAACAAACTCATGGTTACCAGAGGGGAAGAGGGGGAGGGATGAATTAGGAGTCTGGGATTAGCATATATTAGTAGTTATATATATAACTACTATATTTAAAATGGATAACCAACAAGGACCTACTGTATAGCACAGGGAACTATACTCAATGTTTTATAATAACCTATAAGGGAAAAGAATCTGAAAAAAGAAATGTATGTTTAACTGAATCACGTTGCTGTATACCTGAAACTAACACAACATTGTAAATCAACTGTACTTCAATTTTTAGAAAAGATCTATTGTATCAGTTGCACTAGCAAAACAAAAAATTAATAAAATAAAATAAAATTTGGGATGTTCACACAGTCCCTGGCTAAACAGCACTGGGACTTGCAGATTCCTATATTTCTGACAGTTCTGCCAAGTTCTGACAATGGTGATTGGAAAAATGCTTATGTTAACACAGTAAGACGGCTGGTGGGAATGTCCCAAAGCACCCGCCCCCCCATCACATCTTTGTCCTCCCCTCTCCTTCTCCCTCTCCGCTTTTGCACTCAAATTTTCTCTTCCCTTTTCACTCCTGTCCTGGCTGCCCTTGGCATTGTTTAACCCTGCAGCAGTAGAAATCGGGGTCTCCAGGGGTGTCTCAAGCTTTCTGGTCCGCGAAAACAAACAATAGACCATCTTCCTTGATGCCACCCTCAATTCCACCCCTTCCTGGAGTCCAAATTGTCTTGAAAACCCTCTCTTGGAAGGGCTCCCCACGGGAAAGGCAGGGGGTCACGCTAATGACAGTGACCAGAGATGGAGGAAGACCACTGCTTTAAGAACTTGCCCGTAGACCTCTCTGACCTCTGCAAGGGTAGCCCAGGAAGATTACACTAGTGGACGAACCAGCCCAGAGGCTCAGAGGAGGAGGCCAGATCTAGCTGCCTTGCCCTGCTTGCTCCACCGTGGACGCTGTAGCCACTATTTGTCTCAGCAGTTAGCGAGCCCACCAGTCCTGCATCAGACAGCGCATCTGCCGGGACGGGTCCTTTCCCCATGTCCGTGAGCCCATTGCCACCCTAAGTAGGTGTCAGCACTGCTGCTCTAAGGTTACCCAAGAATCCCCAGAGAAAGACAAAAGTCCTTCCTTTGTTCTTTCAACAAATAATCCCCAAGCACCTGGGGCAGGTAAGGTGTCTACCTTAATTGGCCTCACCTTTGGAATGGAAAAAAAAATGAGGATCATCAGAGGGATATCAGGAAGGCCTGCATGGAGGAGGTGGCCTTTGAGCTGAGCATCACTAAACAACCTAACTTCCTTCTTAATTATTTTACAAGAGGAGAAGAGCTGATGAGTAGGGCTTCATGTATTATGAAGTAAGTCTCTCTAACTTGGAAAATAAGGTACTAATTTTTTCACACTTAACCCCAATTGAATGTTGCAAGTTCTTTAAATAGCACTCTTTTACAGAGAGCACATTCCCAGGGAAAGGACAGCAGGGTTTCAACAAGGTGAAACAGGAGCCCCACAGGGCCTGGTGATGGCGGAAGCAGAGGCAAGGACCTGGGGAAGCAGGAGGCCTGTTTAAAGGATGCTGATGGAACAGGTTTGCTAGAGCAGAGGGAAGGTGGCCCCAACCCATGTGGCCTGGACCCCAAAGGTCCCCAGAGATCACAGCAGGGGTCCACATAGCCAGCACATCTCAGGGGGCACCCATGCCTCACTTCCACACTCCAGCTGGCTTTGCCTCCATCACCTTCACTTTTGGCGGGAGGTTTGTGCCCCAGCAATGGTGTCTCCTATAGTTAGGAGCTCTGACCATCAATTATCCAGGTGTTTGAGGAGTTTAGAATGGGACATTGATGCATTATTATTTAATGACTATGTTTCCTATCAGAAATAAACCCTTCAAAACACAGACTCTCCAATAGACAAGAGCTTGGACCATGCCTTAAAAGGCTCAGAGATGCTTGGGAGCCACTGGGGCAGGGACCAGCAGGGATGAGGAAGGCATGCAAGCTGGATCTAAGGACCTTGACCCCCCAGGCTCTGTCCGGAAGTGGCAAGGGTTGGTCTCGGGTGGCTGACTCGGGGAGCATTGCGCAACCCCACGTGCTAGTCTGTGTGACCTGCTTATCTCCATGTTTCTATCCATCACGGCAGTGTGCTCCTTGCAGACGGTCTCCTCAGAGAACACCTCATCCAGCCGGTTGGTATCTGTGGCACCCTTGTCCTGGACCAGCAGGGCAAGGGTGCCGCAAATACCATGATAAGATGTGATAATATGGACAGAGCCCCTGCCCCTCTCCCAAGCTCCCCACCTTCATTCCGAGCCCCTCAGCTGCCTCTGCCCCTTTACTGCTGTCCAAATAAGTAGATTCAGAAAACCCAGTTTCCTACTCACAGGCTGATTCATTTGGCGTTCTTGAGCCAAAACAGATTCCCATTAAACCCCACTAATGGGACAAAAAGCTTCCAAGTATTTTAAATTTATAAAACCTTGGCATAATGGGCTTTACATGATGCTTTCTAGATGTAAATCTGTTCATGAAAATGAGTACATCGATAAAGATATTTTTGCTCTCATCTGAGTGACAACGACATTCCTTTGTGGATTCTTGAACACTGGAGGAAAGCCCTCCTTTCTGCCAAGTTCCTTTTTAGGAAGTTAGCGTTGAACTTAAAAATGATTTTAGGGGCTTCCCTGGTGGTGCGGTGGTTGAGAGTCTGTCTGCCGATGCAGGGGACGTGGGTTCGTGCACCTGTCCGGGAAGATCCCACATGTCGCGGAGCGGCTGGGCCCGTGAGCCATGGCCGCTGAGCCTGCGCGTCCAGAGCCTGTGCTCCGCAACGGGAGAGGCCACAACAGTGAGAGGCCCGCGTACCGCAAGAAAAAAAAAATGATTTTAAGGTTCTTTGTTTCTGGATTAAAAAGCCTCTGGCACATGGACAGTTTTTCCTGGTGCCTGAAATATCAGAGCAGTCGCCTAGAACTAACTTCCTGCAGTTTTCTGCCTTCTTTGGCACTGGTTCAGAGTCAAGATCAAAGTCACTCGCAGTCGGCTAATGTGGGTTCCAGGTCAAGGGTACGACAGGGAGAGATTCCAGCTTGGGGTCAAAATGAAGCCATCTTGTTGCTCAATCAAAGATAAACAGATCCACCTAAGCTATGCTTGGAAAAACATTATTATAGCTGATTTGTGTATCCATTGGTGAAATATCACAGAAATTGTCAGAATAAAGTAGCCTGGGTGGGTGTGCAGCATCTTTTAACAGTGGCCACAGGCTGTAGAGGCCAAGGTGGTACTTGTGTAACAGAGGCCCAGCCTGGGTCAGTGTCTATCACTTTGCCAGAGTCAGGCTGCCTCCACCACCTGCTGGCTGTGTGACCTTGGCTGAGTCAGTTAACCTCTCTGAACCTCCATGTTCTCTACTGTGAAAATGGAGGACATGGCACAAGGACAGTAATGATCGTATAGGCTCGCCCTGAGTGTTCAATGAGATGATGAATGAATAGAAGATGAACTACCCAATGAGTAGAATGTGGTTCTCATTACTACTATCCCAATAGGCCTTGAGAAGGACAATGGACCTTTTTTTTTTTTTTTTTATCCAATATAGAAGTTGACTTTGAGTAGCAGGGAGAGGGAGTACCCTGGAGGTCCAGTGGTTAGGACTTGGCACTTTCACTGCCGAGGGCCCAGGTTCAATCCCTGGTCGGGGAACTAAGATCCCACAAACCGTGCGGTGCAGCCCCCCCCCCCAAAAAAATAATAAAAGTAGCAGGGAGAGAATTTATTAGTTCACACAGTTAGAGAATTGAGCACAAAACACTAGTGTGCACACAAGGACCCTCAAACGTAAAGAGAGCAGGCAACCTTTGAAGAGTTGGCCCAATCTGCCTCAAGGGCTCTGAGCTTGTCCAACTCTGAGGAACCCCATTCCTCCACGGCACCACTCACGTCTGCCTGTGGTCAGCTGAGAAGACCACACACCCAGCAATGTTTCCCTCGAGGACTCAGCACATTGGATTCGATGATTATTTTCCTTCAGTAAATATTTCCTGGTAAGCGAAG